TATCATAATAAAAATATTTTCAGTTAAGTGTGGGTTTTTTTTTTTTCCCTCTTATTTTGTTGGCTGTTTTATCATGGAGGTCCCTTTGGATCTATTTATCTTAGTAAGCTAAGAATAGAAGCTGGAAGTACATACTTTACAGATGAAATTTTGAACTCAAAGTATGAAAGTTGGAGTTCTACCCTTAAGCCTTATAAGCACTTGTTATACCAACATATTCTTCTTTTCAGAAATAGTTAATTGGCTGCAAGAAACAGCTGGAAGAGGCACTTAGCTCTATTTATCATGCCACTGACTAAGGGACATACTTGATTTTAACTCTTCACATGTTGAGCACCAAATGAAGACAAAAGATTCACAGCAGAAGACACATTTGGCCTTGTCACTATCAGCATGTGTGAGAAGGAAAAGCCCAAATTTACCTTCGGGATGTAATTTGCTCCCTGTCTTAGCTTTCTGTTCTGTGTTGTACGTTATGTGGCTACTGTGACAATGTAGGTTGTTAGACTCCAGGTTTGAGTTTTTAGAGTTGTTTTTAGCAATTAGCTGTGGAGAACAAGTAGAACTGTACAGTAGAACAACAACTTTTAAAATAGAGATTAAACAAAAGTGGGGTGTAGCTTAAGCCATCGCAGCAGAGGGCACCAGAGAGACCATCCTGTCACTGACCTAACTGGGACATCTGGGAACTTGATTTTTCTTTTTAGTATAGCAGTAGCAGTCAGCCTTTTCAAAGAACCCCTAAAATCACCAGGTTTCTGTCTGTTTGCATTTCAAACACACCCTGAAATTTTGAAATTTGCCTAGTTCCCAAAAATGGCAGACAAGGTGAAATGCCATTGAGATTATTGTTAAGTCCTGCTTCACTTAACCCATTTGTAACCTTCATTGGAGTGTCTAGGTATTGCCTGTTGGTTGACCACAGAGCCCAGGAGCCTTCACCAGCACCACAGGCATCGCGACACAGCATCTTCGGTGCCCCAAGAGCAAAGGAGGTCCGTGGCACTCTGAGCATATATAACTCCCGCTGCTTTTCAGGACATATGGATTTGTATGCACATGAAGCGCTCTTAGCACACTTATGTTTAATCTCTTTTTAACCCATTTATATAGTAAAATTTACTTGTATGTCACTCCAAATATTAGTGCGTTAATTGGAATCTTTACAGTGTCAACGAAGAAAAAGTGGTGATGCCATCGTAGCTCTTTTGGTACAAAGAACAAGATTTTCCTTATTGTTTATGGCTCACTGCTACAAAAATACATTTTATGTGAACTCCAGGCAAACCATTTCCTTTTTCTGGGATGAGGCAAAGTCAAGGCCGAGTCAGTGCTATACTTGGCTGGTATTCTAGAGGGCACCTTAGCATACAGATGCAGTTAGCTTTGGATTTCATGAGACTGCTACTACCATTATATAGTCAGAATCCAATATTGCCTTTTGTTTAAGGAAGTGTTATCCTGAGCATCTGTAAAGTCCAGGGTGGCAAAGGCTTTGTCAAAACCACAACACCTATAACTTTAAAAGAACAAAGCCAAATAAATGCATCTGAATTAGGAACAGATATTTATACATGGTAGGAATAACCTGTAACTTTTATTGAGATAGGATTGCATCTCAAACTTATTATGGTTATACATATGCTAGAAAGAAAAGGAAAACATGCTTTGAGCAGCTTTTTATAGGTATGTTTATATTTCCTCTGGAAATCTAATGTTTCTGTCTCTCAAAATTACATGCTCATGAGCAAAACCAATACAGCAACTTCCCCTTTTCCTGCAGAATCATAGGTGTTGAGTGTTACAGAACATGGTTGATGGTGTGAAGCAAAATTATCTGGCTTTGTTGGAGTAATGGTCATTAGTGCAAAACTGTGTACATTCAGGACTAACTTGAGGTGCTTGGAAGCTCTAGACCATCCATTCCCAGAAGAACTGGTGAGGTAGGGGTGGGAGGGTGTTAACGCTTGGTTCAACAACCTCTGCCAAGTTTAGCATGGTTTTGGGATGCTAGAGCTAGCAGTGAGTGGCAAAGAGGAGGTTGGCAGTCTAGGAAAGGGTCAACAATTCAACTAGCAGCAGGGTCTCCAAAAGAATAGGGGCACAATGGCTGTCCTGTAAGAACAGGATGAAGGGAGCTAGTATGAGGATGCAGCAGTTCAAGGGCAGGGACTTGTTCCAAAAATTTGAGCGTTTCTGTATGATGTCCTCAGGTCCCGGGTGTGCTCTCCCACCACAGCAGAGCCCTGTGGCATCTCAGTGGAAAGCCATCATAAAAATCATCTCCACAAGAGCAGTCTACTGGGGCTAATGTGGTGGTCTCCTTTTCCAGCCCAAGCAAAGCACTGTCAGAGAAGATTCCAGTCTGATTCACATCAATATGTATGAATGCTTGTGTGTGTGGAAAAAGATGTGACAGGCCAATAGAAAAATCTTCTGCTAGGCCTCCACACTTCTTTGTGCGTCAGGACTGTAGGGTGCCCTGTTTTATCCTAGAACTGACAGGAACCCAGTCCAGCTGCTGGTGTAAGGCTCGCTGCCCACGTACCCGCCATACTCCACTGAGCACAAACATCATTTTCATTATAGTTTTCTGTGTGAAACATGGAAAGGGTGTGTTCACCTTCTGTTCTATCTCTGGATGAGTGAAGCATTTGCTTCCAGAAGTAGGAAGTCTGGATGCGAGGTTGTCCTCAAGCATTTAAGCTCCAAATTCTGCCTCACACCTTTTGGGAGAACGTCCCAACC